CTGTATTGACCTGTGGCCAAAGGACATGACTGGAAGGAGCTGACTTTTGAAAATGCACCGAAGCTCTCCTTGCGGCCAGTGCGCACAGTGACGAGAACGGGGTGACACCTGCCGGGTCTGTGCTGGGCCAGACTCTGCTCCGCGCACCTTGCAAGTATCACCTCACTTAATCCTTTTCAGTTCAACATGATCAGTTTAAACATGATAAGGTTTTTCAAATATTCTGTGGATACTCAAAGAGAATATTAGCCCTTGGAGAGGTAAGGATGTGAAGAAATGTAAGTTTTTATCGAACTCCCATGTGTTTCCATTTCCTTACCTGAAAACTGGAGGTTACAACAGACCCCAATAGAGTTTGGAGGAGAGTTCCATTGTATAACACAACCACAGTTCTTAGGTCATCCTCGACTGTGGCACTCGAAGTTTACATTTTCTTTTTTATTATCACTAATAGTTGAATTCCGAGAAAATTGATGCAAAAGCCTCCTATTCTGGATTGATTCTCCTTAAGTTTCACAGGTTTTGATTTCTGTAATTCATAATGAAATGGCCAAAAACCCACCTGAGAGGTTTGAACCACTTCATCATTCAAATGCTGTAGATACCGATGTGAACCCTGGACTTTGAACCCTGGACTTTGGTGTCTTTGATGTGTCCGTGTAGACTCATCCATCGCAATGAAAGCACCCTCTGGTGGAGATATTGATCCTGGGGAGTGGGGCAGGGGCACCTGGTAACTCTAGGTCCTTTCTGCTCAATTTTGCTGTGAACCTAACACTGCTCTAAAACAAGAAAAGTCTATTTTTTAAAATGTGGTAGAAAAATGGATGAATCCAATAAATATTTAACCCAAGAAATAAGAGAAATATCAACAAGAAAAGGAAACCAGGAGGAAACAGGAGGCAGAATTTGGGGACGCAGAAAGCAGAGCAGCAGCCCCAGTCCCCTAAGGCTCCCACCATCTCTCTGTGGAAACTGTGTGGCTCAAAACCACAGGGAGACACCCCTATGCACCACAGAATAGCTAACCCGGAAAGACTGTGGGTCGGGTGACAGCTGGTAGAACCACTTTGGAATACGGTCTGGCAGTTTCTCATAAAACTAAATACGTACCTATCTAATGACCCCGCCTGCCAGCACTAGGAGAATTAACACTTATGCCCACAAAAAAGACTGACACAAGCATGTTTGGAGCAGCTTCACTCTTAACACCCAGACAAACAAGCCCAGGCACCCGTCAGTGAGAAAATGGAAAAGCAACCTGTGGAACAGGACAGCACTCAGCGACATAAAGGACCAGACCGTGCAGACATACAGCAACGTGGGTGACTCTCAAGGACACGGGGGCACATGTTGTATGATTCCACTCTGTGTGAAGTTCTAGGACATGCACAACTGTCTCTTGGTAGAAGTCAGAACTGTGGTTGTTGGGGGAGGCATGGCGAGGGACATGGAGAATCTGACGGGGGGCGATGGTGATTTGCAAACTTGACAGGTGTTTGGGTGACCCAGCTTTGTGCACTTGTCAAATTCGATGAATATTCATGTAACAGTCTGATGCATACAAATCACACATGGAAACAAAGAACCGTAAACAAATATGAACTCTAGCTACTGCATGCTGACGTATTTAGCACGGAGTGTGCCAATGTCTGCAGTGCACTTTAAAGCAGATAAAACAGATGAATTCATGGGTGACTAGATGGATGGACAGATGGATGGGTGTGTGAAAGCAACTGGAAGTAAATGTTAAAGGAAGACTCTAAATGGTAGACTTATGCGTGTTCACTGCAAAGTTCTGTCAACTCTGCTGTATGTTTTAATTTTTTCACTATGAAAGTCAGAAAAAGATAAACAAAAATTCTCATATATTTGGACATTTTCCTATACTCATCTAAATAACCCATGTGTCAAAGAAATAATCCTAATGGAATTTTAAAAATATTTAGAACTGAATCATAATAAAGTGCTGCATATCAAAACATGTGGAATTCCATGAAAATATTATGTAAAGTGAAATGTGCTGCCTAAATGCTACTGTGGAAAAAAATTCTACAAATAAATGAGTAAGCTGCGATTTTTAGTGAGAAAAAGAACTACTACAAAACAAAGAGAAATGGAACTAGTGAGAGATAAGGGAAGAATTTAACCACCGCCCCCCACCACGTTGACATCCAGCCCACCAAGGACCGACCCTGCTGCTGCAGAAGTCCCCGTGGGCCAGCCCCCTCCCACCTGCCCCTCCACTGCTCTGCAGCAACATCTCTGAATGTGAAATAATAATAATAATAAATAGACTTTTAAAAGAGAAGAATTTAATAAAATAAATTCCTGTCTCCCCAACACAGGAATATCTCCTCGCTAAAAAAGAACTTTCTATGTGTAAGCAAAAGATACCCACGTGGGCTGAGGGATTCCGTAAACTGGAAAAGCTTGGGGCTTATCCACGGTGGCCCTGTCCCTGTGGAACGATCTCAGAAGATGCCCCCGGAGCCCAGTGCTCCTGCCTCCCCCACTGGGGGAGAACCAGGGGTCTGAGAAGACTCCAGACGCCTCATACAGCCCAGAGCCTCAGGACACGGATGCTGCCCCTTTACTGACCCAGCACAACACAGACTTGTAAGGACCAAGTGAAGGCTGACGCTTCACCCCTGGGGTGATGGGCCGAGCAGAACCCCTCCCGCCCCCAGCCCCACCTGCTCACCTGCGCACACGATCCAGGCTTCCTCCCCACTGGAGCAGGACTGCTGGTTCCAGGGGTCTGACGGGCACTGCCACAGGGACCTGTCATGCCTCTCCCTGCACTGAATGGAGGCCAACCAGAGAGCCCCAGGGGGAGGCCGGCTCGCTGCCCTGGGCTGCAGCTGCCCCCGGGACCCACAGCCCAGCTGCCCACACAGGATCCCCAGGGAGGCAGGGCTCAGAAGGACCCGTTGTAGAAAACTTCCAGGCACCCTGCACATGGCCGGCTGTGGTTCTGCAGCCTCAGATCCGTGAACTCTGCACAGAGAGGCCGGTCAGCGAGACCCAGCATCAGTCGGTGGGTGGGAGCCACAGGGGGGGCGGGCTGCACCGACCTGAGCAGAAGACCCCGGCGTCCTCCTTGTGCCCGCAGTCGTGCCAGACTCGTTGCCCCGGCAGCCCAGCTCGTCCAACCAGATGCGCCCTGCACCGGCCCCGAA